GAAGGTTATGTTGGGACAATAAAGATTTATGAATTTAACCTACTAGAATGTGGGTAGGAGCAGAAATATTTATTTACTTCATTTATACCCCACTTTTCTTCCCAGTGTGGACCAAAAGTGGTTTACAACATTCTTCTGTCCTCCATTTTATTCTCACAGTAACCCTGTGAGGCAGGTTAGGCTGAGAGTGTTTGATTGGCACAAGGTCATCAAGCAAGCTTCTATGGCATAAAAGGGTTTTGAACCTGGTTCTTCCAGATCATAGACTGAAACTCTAACCACTATGATACCTGCTGTCATAGTGCTTTAATCCCTAAAACTCAGCAATCTTGATATACTGTGAATTAGAACATTCAAGATAAGACTATGTCTGTACCAGCTGTTCTTCCCAAGGTATGTCCTGGGATACAGCTGAAGGTGAAGGGATACATCTAACCTTGGAGGTATCACTATAAATCAGAAGGGGGGGGGAGACAGTGCACCTCATTAAAGAGGCCCTAAATCCCCCTACAACATTCCTCACATTATCTAACCAACCATGAGAGGAAAAACATTACTCCCAGCAAACCTGCCATAATACCCAGGAAGCTTATTTATGGGTAACACAGCAGACTATTTGTGAACTGACAAGATCACCAGAACTGTGGTCCAGTCAATTTAACTTCTAAGGGGAGAAAACAGCTCCTCTTGCAACATGGTCTTCAACCTATGGATTAGGGGACCCTCAGGTGCACTGTAGACTCCCATCTGCTGCATCCCTATAAAATCCCCATAAAGCTTCAAGTATTTATTACCTTTTGGAATGACCTGCTTCTAGTATACATGAACAGAGAACAAAAGCGCTGTTCCTCTTGCCTCTTTTTGCATGTGTGCTGAGCATCAGGTCAGGAAGAGGATTCCTGTCTAGCACAGACACATTCAGGATCACATCCCTCACAAAAACCCTCCCTTACTTGTCATATGTCAGATGACTTCATGTCATGTGCTTGCTGACTCACTTAACCTCCTTTATTGGTTAGCTCCCAATCAGTGTAATTGGCTCCAGTGGTTTGTGGAAGTTTGGCCACAGCTCTGGAACATAGCAGACCCTGCTCCAGTGACAAAGTGTCTGGAACAAGGGAATAAGCAGGCAAGTTTAGCAGACGTGTCAGTTCAGCAGCAGGGTGAGGAAGCCAGGGCACTAGTCTCTTCATGTTCCTAAAAGGGTAAGCATGCTTTCCACAAACAGATCTACAAAAATAGGAAATTTATAAAAAATGGAGGGGAGAAAAGCAAATATTAAGGTAGAATGCCAGCAGGGGGTTGGGGACTATCCAGTGTATTACAATGAGTGCAACATTTATGACAATCTGCCAGCTGGACAGAAGTCATGGGTGTATGCTCGGTGGAAGGAGCTCCTAGTTCTCAGGGAACGAGTTCACACCCTCGAAGCCAAAGTGGCTGACGTGGAGAAGAAGAGACAGTCAGGCACACAAATAAGATTATCTTGGGGATAGAGATGTGAAGGCCCAGAAAAAAAACCCGGAAAATTTTTTTTGGGGGGGGAAGTGGGGTTTTTTTGGGTTTCCCTGAAGCCTTTTTTATTTTTTCCTGAAAAACTGGAAAAATTGAAAAGAAAAAAAGGGAAAAATTGATTATGAAACGCTTTATTTTAACATGATGAATAAAATATTTTAAGACAAGGCATTCAAATATTTTCCAAATCATTTCTAAATCCCTTCCAAATCCCTTCAATACACTTCCCCCCTCTTCAGTTCTTTTTATGAGAATGTTTCTTTTTTTAACATTTAATACTGTGGAGAGAAATATGAATAACTTACTTCTGAATTTTTAAAAATTGTTTTGTGGAGGTTTTTTTGTCTGTTCCACATAAACCAGTAAACAGTTCAGGAGATTGTTGCTCCATTTGTTACAATTACAAATAAATATTATTTAAAAAGTAAATTCTGTTTGTAATAATTGTTTGGATATACTATATTTTTAATATGCTAGTTGTGATAATTTCATGCCAAGTAAAATTGTTCATAGTCATATTTTATGTTCCTAAAGTAACAGAATGACTTTCAATCTGGGGGAAAAAAAAGAAGTGCTAATGTAGCATTTTTTTCAATTTTTCTGAAAATTTCCGTTTTTTTCTGGGGGGAAACGGAAAAAACCTGGGGGGGTTTCTGAGCTTCAAAATTTCTGGAAATTTTTCATCTCTACTTGGGGACTTGTTAGATATCTCTCACTCTGAGAATGGCAGTCCCCACCATTCTCAGAGAGCATGAGAGTCAAGGGGAAACAGGGCACTATACTGAAAAAAGGAGGAATGTTCCCTCAGAAAGGACCCCTTCTATAGTTGGTGAACAGGTATTATTTTGTACCAAGAAACTATCCCTGGGCAGAGAGGGAGGGGGGCTATTGGTAGTTAGTGATTTGATCTTTAGGCATGTAGATTGATCACAAACCCACATACTGACCACATGGTGACTTGCCTACCTGGTGCAAAGATAGCGGACATTATACGTGGTCTAGATAGGCTGGAGTGCTTCATGTCAGAGGAGCATATCAACATTGTGAGCATTTTAGAAACTTGGTGGGATGAGGATAATCAGTGGGATAACAGTGATTCCCAGATATAAGTTATATCAGAATGATAGGGAGGGAAGGGATGGAACTTAGGTAGAATGGCTCTGTATGTCAGAAAGTGTATTCAGTCCAGTAAAATTGTAAGAGAAATAGATTCGCCTACAGAAACACTATGGGTGCAAATAGTGGACCCAAAAGGAAGCTTAACTATGACTGCCCACTAGATCAAATGTTAGAGATCATTTAAAAAGAGCAAAAGAATTAAGGAAAGCAGCTAGATGAAATAAATGTGTCATAATAGGTGATTTTAACTAGCCATACATTGATTGGGTCAATATGTTTTCAAGCCAGGAGCGATGCTCCCTCTAAGCTGTGGAGTCTTATGAGCAAAAATTCTACTTTGTGAGTTACTGGCATTAAAGCTGTGAGCAATCAATTTGGCTACTGCATAAATTAGTTTGCTCTGGAGCCATCCTTCCTGAGCTGAGACAAAAATGTGTGAGCCGGAGGCTAAAAACATATAACCAAGCTCACATTAACTCAGCTTAGAGGGAACACTGGTCAGGAGAAAGAGATTGGGTTTCTAGATACTCTCAATGACTGTGCCATGGAGCAAATGATCACAGAACCTACCAAGGGGACAGAACCTACTACAAGGGGGTTCTAATTAATGCTCAAGACCTGGTGAAAGATGTAAATGTGGTAGCACCAGCTGGGAATAGGGACCATAATGCTGTTAAATTTAGCATTTATGTAAATAGGGAGTTGCCCAAAAAGACCAACACAACCACATTTTACTTTAGAAGGGGTAACAAGTCAAATCCCTTCAGGAAGCTTGAAGACTATTTAAAACTACAATCCTGGAAGCTCAGATACAATGTATACTGCAGGTTAGGAAAGGTACTAATAGGTATAAAACAAGGCCTACATGGTTAACAAACAATGTAATGAAACCAGTAGAAGGTAAGAAGGATTCCTTTAAGTAGCAGAAAGCTCATCAAAGTGAGGTGAATAAAAGGGAACACATACTGTGGCAAATGAAATGTCGTCAGTGATCAGACAGGTGAAAAGGGACTATGAGGGAAATAGTGCAAAAAAACCCAACACATAAAGACCAACAATAAAAATTTCTTCAAACACCTTAGAAGCAGAAAACCAGCCAGGGAGGTAGGGGGGGCCATTGGATGACCAAGAGGTTAAAAGGATTACTAAGGGATGATAGGGAAATGGCAGAGAAGCTGAATGCGTTTTTTGCCTCTGTCTTCACTGTCGAAGGTAGGAGGTGCTTGTCCACACCACAACCACTGATTTCAGGAGGAGTGTCGAAAGACCTGAGTCGGATTGAGGTGACAAGAGAGGAGGTCCTACGACTTATGTACAAATTAAAAACTGACAAATCACCAGACTCAGATGGCATATATCCAAGAGTTCTGAAAGAACTCAAATGGGAACTTGTGGAGCTCCTGACAAAAATATGCAATCTGTCACTAAAATCTGCCTCCATCCCTGAGGACTGTAAGGTAGCTAATGTAATCACCATCTTTCAAAAAGGTTCCAAAGGAGATCCACGAAATTACAGTCCAGGCAGTCTAATGTAAGTTGGTGGAATCCATTATTAAATATAGAATTAGTAGGCACATAGATGAACAAAAGCTATTGAGAAAGAATCAGCATGGATTCGGTAAGGGAAGATCTTATCTCACTAACCTTTGAGAATTCTTTGAGGGGATAAACAAACATGTGGACAAGGATGGCCCAGTAGATGTTGTCTAACTAGACTTCCAGAAACCTTTTGATAATGTTCCTCATCAAAATGTCCATAGTAAACTTAGCAGTTATTGGATAAGAGGACAAATCCTCTTGTAGATTAACTGGTTAATTAACAGGAAACAGAGAGTCAGTATAAATGGGCAGTTTTTACAGTGGAAGGTGGTAAGCAGTAGGGTACCACAGGGCTTGGTACTAGTTCTGGTGCTTTTTAACGTGTTCATTAATGATCTGGAGTTGCGAATAAGCAGTGAAGTGGCTAAGTTTGTATATACGTTGATGAGGTCCAAACTGGTGGTAATTGACCAGGAGAGAGCTCTTGGAGTCATGGCAAATAACTCACTGAAGATGTCGACTCAGTGTGCAACTGCAATAAAAAAGGCCAATGCTATGCTGTGGATTATTAGGAAGGGGACTGAAAACAAATCAGCCAGTATCAGTATCATATGATTAACACTTGGAAT